CCCCCCCCCCCCCCCTTTTCTGACCCCAGCCCCGAGCGGGGGGGGCCGAGGTCACCCTTAACCCACCCCAAAACCCCCCCAGACCCCCCCCGTGCTGGCTCTGCCCGGTCGGGCAGGACTCGGCCACGCGCCGCTGGCACCTGGAGAGCCCTCGAGGTGGGGGGGCTGGGGCAGAGCCAAGCACCCCCCTGCTCCTCCCTGAGCCCCCCCCTGAGGGCTCCTGATCCCCCCCACCAGAGCTGTACCCCCCCCTCAGGGCTCCTTCACGGTGATGGGGGTGATCAGCGGCCCCTTGCTGGGGGCTTTTGTCCTGGGAATGTTCCTGCCCTTCTGCAGCACGGCCGTGAGTAGGGGGGGGGGGATTTGGAGGGGGATTTTGGGGAGGGGGGAGTCTCTGGGGTCCTGGGAATGTTCCTGCCCTTCTGCAGCACGGCTGTGAGTGGGGGGGTGCGGCTCGGGAGGATTTTGAGGAGGAGGATTTTGGGGATGGGGGGTTCCGAGGTCCTGCCGCTCTCCAGCGCAGCCAGGAGTGGGGGGAGGATTTTGGGGAGGGGGAATTTTCGGCGGGGGGGCGGGGGGGCACTCTGTGGTCCTGGCCGTGTTCCTGCTGTGAGTCCAGGGATTTTGGAAGGGGGAAATTTGGGGGCGAGGGATTTTGGGGAGGGGAGTGTTCCGCATCCTTCAGCTCTGCAGCAGAACCGTGACTGGGGGAGGATTTTGGGGAGGGGGAATTTTTCCGGGGGGGGGGGCACTCTGGGTCCTGGGCATGTTCCTGCTGTGGGGCTGGGGGATTTGGGGCGGGGGGTTCCGGGGTCCTGCCGCTCTGCAGCCTGGCTGTGAGTCGGCGGGGGGATTTTGGGGGGGGTGTCTCTGGGGTCCATCCCAGCCCCACCCGGGCCGTGCAGACCCCCCTCCTGTGCCGCAGGGTGTCCTGGGGGGTCTGGCTGCTGGCTTTGCCCTGTCCCTCTGGGTGGCCGTGGGGGCCACCCTGTACCCCCCCAGCGCGGCCACCATGGGGGTCCTGCCCAGCTTCGACACCCTCTGCCCTCCCCGCAACGGCACCGGCGCCAATGGCACCACCCTGCCCACACCCCTCGGCCCCCCCGGGGACCCCCCGGAGCCCACACGGTGAGAGGGGGTGGCCGGGGGGTGGCCGGGGGGTGTCTGGGGAGGTGGGTGGGTGGCTTGTTGTGATGTCACAGTGCTTTCCCCGTCCTGTGTGACGTCACACTGCTGTCCCTGTTCTTCTGACGTCACACTGCTTCCCTTGGGATGGTACGACGCTCTCCCTCATCCCTTATGACATCACTGTGCTCACTTCATCCCTTTTGGTGTCCCACTGCTGTCCTTGTTCCTTATGACGTCACACCACTTCCCTTATGACGTCACATTGCTTCCCCTGTGACATCACAGCACTTTCCCTGTCCCTTATGATGTCACACTGCTTCCCTCATCCCTTATGATGTCACACTGCTTCCCTTGTCCCTTATGATGTCACACTGCTTCCCTCGTCCCTTATGATGTCACACTGCTTTCTTTGTTCCTTTTGATGTCACACCCCTTTCCCTGTCCACTGTGACGTCACGCCGCTGTCCCCCTTGGCTATGACGTCACACCACTGTCCCCGTGTCCCCCCACAGACCGACCATCCTGGGGGACTTCTACTCCATGTCCTACCTGTACTACGGGGCGCTGGGGACCCTCAGCACGGTGGGGGTGGGGGTCCTGCTCAGCTCCCTGCCAGGTGAGCCGGGGGGGACCCCGTGACCTGGCGCAGGGGGGTCCCATCCCTGCACCCCCTCCCTGACTCCTCATTCCCGGCAGGGCCCACCCGGCAGAGGGGGCGGCCCCCGGGGGTGCTGTGGTGGGACATCGTGAGGAACGCACCCTCGGGGTTCCCCCCGGGGGGCAGGAGCCCCGGGGACGAGCCCCTGGACAAGGCTGGAGCTTCCCGGGCGCTGCCGGAGAGGTTGGAGGGGGAGGGGAGCCCCTCCTGGGACCCCCCCGAGCCTGGAGCCGCCGCGGAGCTGCTGGTGCGGGAGACCCACGTGTAGGGGGACGGGGGGGCGTGGTGACCTGGCTGTGGGGGGGGGACAGCAGGATGGGGGACACAGCCCTGTTCTGGGGTCGCAAATAAAGGAGGAGCTGATCCTGGGAGGAGCCTGTCCTTGGGGGGCTGCAGGGACGGGGGGGGACACGGCTGAGCCCCTGGGGGGGTGCAACTGGAGTTGGAGGGGGAGTCAAACTGGGGGGACACGGGGACGGATGCTGGGGGAGGAGGGAGGAAAGAGCTGCCCTGGTCAGTCCCATCCACCCAGGTGACAATGGCCACGCCCTGTTAAGCCCCACCCATGCAGGGGACAACAGGCCACACCCTATGAACAATGGGTTACACCCAGGTAACAATGGGTTCTGCCCTGATGAAGCCACCAGGTGACAAAGGGGTCAGACCTGCCAAGCTCCGCCCACTCAGGTGATATCCAGCCAAGCCACACCTACTCAGGTGACAAGCGGACCACGCCCTGTTAAGCCCCGCCCACCCAGGTGACACCGGGACCACGCCCTGCCAAGCCCCGCCCACGCCCGCCTCAGGGCCGCCCCTCAGGGCGACGCCATCTTTGTGCCGGGCAGAGGAAGAGGTTGGCCCTCGGCCTTCCCGCCGCTCCGCCAGCGCTGCCGCGGGCAGGGCCCGCCGCCCGCCCGTCCCTCCGCTCCCTCCCCTTCCTTCGCTTCCTCCTCCGCCTCTCCCGGCGCCGCGGCGCGGGCGGAGCGAGGCCGGTCCCGGTTTGCCCTTAACAAACATGGCGGCGGCGGCGCCCTCCCTTCTCCCGCCCCCTCCCGCGGGTGGGGGGGCGCCGGCGCGCGGCGATGACGCGCGAGGCGCGCGACGGGCGGGGCGGCGGGGCCCGGGTAGGAGCGGGGCCGGTTCGGGGCCGGGCGGAGGGGCCGGGGGTGGGCGGGGGCGGCGGGGACACGACGGGACGGGAACGGGGCGACAACGGGGCAGAGGGGAAGGGGCGGGGGGGACGGGGCGGGGAGGCCTGGGGAGGGTGGCGGTGGAAGGGGGGAACAGGCCCGGGTGTCCCACCATCCCCATCCCACCTTCCCCGGATCCCGCTCCTCGGGAAGGGCCAGAGGGCAGGAGAAAGGGGTTTAGGGAAGGGCCAGACGATGTAGCCGGTGAGAGGAGGGATTCGATCCAGGTTGGGAAAACCTCGGGGGTGGAGCGGCCAGCCCTTCAGAGCAGCCCTTCTGTGCCCGGCTTTGTTTGACGAATTAAACCTCTGCCATTAAAAACCCCCCAGATTTGGGATCCGGAGTGGCTCCACAGCCCCGTCTGCGCGGGCGGCGTCCACAAAGCAGAGCCTTTGCTGGCCAAGTGCCACAGCCCGCCCTGGTGTCACAACCAAACCCATGGAACGCTCCGGGCGGGGGGACGGAGGGGTTGGAAAGCTGGGAAGGGCCCCGGGGGTGCTGTGGCAGCACCTGGGCATGAGCCAGGGGCATCTGGCTTGGGTCAAAACCAGTGTGGCCACAGGAACAGGGCAGTGACAGTCCCCTCTGCTGGGGGGGATCCTCGGATCAGGGGGTCGGTTCTGGGACCCTCATGAAAAGAAGGGCAATGAGGCGTTGGAGTGTGTCCAGAGAAGGGAACGGGGCTGGAGCACAAGGAGAAGGGACTGGAGGACTACTGAGGGAGCTGGAGGTGCTCAGCCTGGAGAAAAGGAGGCTCAGGGGGGACCTTCTCACCCTCTGCAACCCCCTGACAGGAGGGGGGAACCAGGGGGGAAATGGGCTCTGCTCCCAGGGAACAAGAGACAGGAGGAGAGGAAATGACCAGGAGATGTTCAGGAGGAATTTCCTCATGGAAAGGGTGGTCAGGCCTTGGGAGGGGCTGCCCAGGGAGGTCTGGAGTCCCTATCCCTGGAGGTGTTCAGGGAAGGACTGGAGGTGGCACTCAGTGCTCTGGGCTGGGTGGCACAAGGCGGGCATCGGGCACGGGGGGGGGGCTCCGTGACCTTGGAGGGCTTTCCCAACCTCAGCGATCCCATAAAAAGGGGTTTTCCCAGCAAACCCCGAACTCAGGTGGGCAAGGACCTGACCCTGCTTTCCTCCCCAAAGAGCACCTTGAGTGATGCCCAAGAAGTTCCAGGGGGAAAACACCAAGTCGGCTGCTGCCCGAGCGAGGAAAGCCGAGGCCAAGGCAGCGGCCGATGCCAAGAGGCAGCAGGAGCTGGAAGATGCTTACTGGAAGGATGAGGACAAACACGTGATGAGGAAGGAGCAGAGGAAGGTCAGTGCCTGCCCACAGAGGCATCTCCTAAACCCTGGGAGCACCCAGGGATACCCCACACCTTGTCCTGGGCTCCGTTCCGGGGTGGGGGGGGAAAAGCTGGAATTTCGTGGCTGCTCCGGGAGCTAAAAGCAGCCCGGTGTGGGAGGGAAGTGTGAGCTCTGCTGTGCAATTCCCAAACCTGGCGGATCTCGGAGTTCCCGAGGGAGGCAGCACAAGCCTTCTGGTGGGGATCGTTTAAAGCTGAACCGAGGGAAAGATCAGGGATTTGGACTGTGCCCAAAACGCTCCTTTAGCTCCTTTTCATTTCCTTCTTTTCCTTTTCTTGCCTTCGGTTTTCAGAGGAGGAAAATGGAATCAGCAGATTAAGGGTCTCAAAGGTCTTTTTTTTTTCCCCTCCTGGTTTTGCTGTTCCCTGCATCAGGAATGTCTCTCTCCTGAGGTTCCCTCTGGATTGCCCTTCCCTGGGTCCCTGTTTCTGTTGGTGTTTTTTGGGTTATTTATTTGGTTTTTAATGTCCTGCTCTTGTTACCCAAATCCACCTCCTGGTTTGTGGGGTTTTTTTTAGGAACTCTTAGTGATGGTTTAGCTGCTTCCTCTGAAATGATCCCTGTTGCCTCGTGCTGTCTGTTGGTGCCAAAAACGGGATTTTGGGCGTTCCTGAGCTTGTGCTGCTCCAGGAATTGGGAGCTGTGGCAGGAGGCACCACGTCCCTGTGCCCTTGAGCCCTTCCCACTGTGTCCCCTGCGTGAGTTCATCCCTAATTTGTGTCCTGGAATCCGGAGTCCTGTGGGCTGTTCCCGGTGCGATCCCGTAATGCTCCCTAATTGCTTCCTGGAACAAGGAGTTGTTATTGCTGGATTTAAGGGCTTGGCCAAAGGTGACCTGTTTGTGCTTCCAAAACAGCCTCCTGCAGGCAGGGAGGATGGGAATTTGGAGAGTGGGGGGATGTGCTGGGAGCTGGGATTGCTGACTGGGAAACTGGTGTCTGTCCCAGAGCCTCGGACTGGGTTTTAGGGAAACCAGTGGGGTGGTTTCCAGTGTCCCCTGAGCCGTCCCCTCTCCCTGTGTCAGCACAACCACAATGTCCAGGTCGGAATTTCCCCCAAATCCTGCGTTTTAGTGCTTTTTCTTCCCAGAAACCCCTTTTCCTTGGGAATGTGCAGCCCACAGCAGCAAAGGTCTCTGCTCAGGTGTGGAGCTGAGCCCAGAAAGCCCAACTGTTCCTGCCCAGGTGCTCTTCCCGCTGCCAGAGGCAGAAATTAGTGGGCTGCTGGAGGGAAATAAATCAGGGAAACCCTCCTTGGCTGCTTCTCCAGCCTCATCCAGCTGGAATATCCCTGTGGAGAACAGGAGGAGCTGCCTGTGTCCTGTCACATCCCGGCAGGGAAGGGATGTGTGACTCGGGTTATAAACGACTTTGTCCTCTCTAGGATGAGGCTGGAGAAGCCAAACCATTCCCAGGGGTCAAAATTCCCTGGAGAAGGAGGTGTCTGGGGGGTGGTGCTGGCATGGAATTGCCCGTGTGCTCCGGGAGGGACTCGTGGCACTCGGATCCAGGGGACGGAGCTGTCGGGAGAGACCTGAGGACGCCAGGCTGAGTCTCACACCCCAAACCCACTCCCCAGGCTCTGGTTTTCCTTCCATCCTTGCTCTGCCTGCCTGGGGGTGATGGAAGGGCCGGGTCTGATCCCGTTTCCAGGCTCTGCTGAGCCCTGGGGGTCCCGCTGGGCACTCGGACGCGCTCCAGGGCGGTTCTGCTCCGCTCTCTTGCCACCTGCGTCATTTCCCCTGCATTCCTTCGCCTTCCTGCCGTGCCAGGAGCTCTCCAGCCTTTCCAGGGCCTCTCCTGAGAGCAAGGATCAGGAGCTGTGGCTCCCTGTGCCTGGGATCCAGATCTCCTCCCCCCCCAGCAGCTGGGAAGCTCTTCTGGGGCTGATGAGCCGTTCCTTGCTCAGGCACTTCTCTGCAAGGCTGGAAACTTGTGTTTTAACACCCAAATCCTTGGGAATGGACGTGTCCTGCTGGAGGAATCTCATCCCCTGCTCCTCCCAGTGCCCTTTAAACTCCCTGGTGCTGGTGGCCAACCAGGAGATTCCACCTGGATCCATCATTATCCTACGCTGTGGCCACAGACACATCCCTGTGTACCCCTTCCCTCTCCCCTTCCCTCTCCCCTTCCCTCCTCTCCCCCTTCCCTCTTTTGTTCGTTTGGGGCTTTTTTATCCCCCCTGACCTTCCAGGCTTTGGGAGAAGAGGGAGTCAACTCTCAGCCAGAGCACTGAAAGCCCTTAAGGGCTTGTTCCACGGGCTTGTCACCCTCTTCCCTGGGCAAAGTGGCTCTTGAGCTCCTTCTGGAGCACTTCAAATTCCCACAAGAGCTGCTCTACCCGTCAGAATCCGCCCGGGCCGCGTGTCCCGGCCCTCGGGAAGGGCGTGAGGACGGACCCAGGCTCCTCACCAGCAGCTGCTGAGCTCCCAACCTCCCAGCACTTATTAAAATTAAAGTGGAAAGCTTAATCTGATTGTCCTGGCACTCCTCCTCCGCAGCAGGGTTGTGTTGCACGGGGCTGACATCACCGGGCAGGGACGTGGGAATCGTTATTCCGAAGGGATGGGGACGGGCTGTCACTGTCCCGCTGAAGGTCGGGGTGATCCAGCTACAGCACTGAGGTGCCTGTTCCTGTCCCAGCGGGATTCCCAGCTCCTGGAAGAGCTGGTTTGATCCCTCTGTAAGGTCTGGAGGTGACCTGGTCCTTCCTCCCTGGCAGGAGGAGCGGGAGAAGCGGCGGCTGGAGCAGCTGGAGCGCAAGAAGGAGCTGCAGCGCCTGCTGGAGGAGGAGGACTCCAAGCTCAAAGGGAAGTCACCCAAGCAG